AAGTTCATGTCGTTTATTCTGGTTAAAATACTATTCTTATATAATATTCCCATAAAATTTTATTATAACAACAATAATTGTAGAGTGTATTTTCGCTGATGTTCTAATTCTTTGCAAAAACGTACGTTATTTTTTTCATTTTAAAAATAATTTAAAAGTGAGGAGCACTCATTAAAGCAGTGGTTCCCAACCTTTTTCGCATCGCGCTTCCCTGCTCTAATAAAAAAGTTGTTGCGCCCCCCCCGGAATTTTTTCAACAATTTTATTTTTATAAATACTCAACTGATATTATCAGAAATTTTATTTAAAAAATTCGTTTTATTTTATTTTATATTAATTATTTATATATATTAATAAAAAAAAATAGAAAAATTAATTTAAAAAAAAAAAATAGTATTTTAGAACGTGCCGTACGCACACCCCCTGTATGCCAGGCTCCCCCCTGATGGGGCGCGCATCACAAGTTGCTGAATTAAAGTTGGATGAGCGTTTTGATTGTCACCAGGGGAAAACAACTAGTGCAATAATACCCTCGGGTTGTTCGCCTAGGATCTTGACAAAACTTGGCATAATGATATATTTGCTCAAAATGGCCTCCATAAATTATTAATATAGATTAAACAGTCATTAAATTTTAGCAAATGATGTAATAACATAAACAGCACATAAATATTGAAACAAAGTCATCAGTAGGACCACTCATTAATCCTACCCAAAGTCATTAGCAAACTTCTTAATGACAGGGAACTATCGACGAAGATTGAAAAGCTCCAATGAATTTAAGTCATAAATTTTCCTGATAAAGATTGAAATAACTTAGTCAATATTTTATGAAATTATTTATAAGTAAATAGTTGAGATTATATCATTATCAATAAAATATTGGTAATCTTATAACGAATGGGAAAACAACTATTTTGTTGTTTTTCCAACATGCCCCTTTAATACACAATGTCCCTTTACGGATGACAATTGTAAATTCCGCAAATTTATTAAATGTCCTTAACTGGACAGTTGTAAATAAAATAGAGAATAAAGAAATCTAGCAAATAGCCAAAGAAAATATCAAAATTTGTGCAATTATATTTCAAACTAGCCGGCCCGATAGACTTCGTCCTGTCAAAAAAAATTGTAATGTGGCGGTGTTTTGTGCCTACCTTTTTTCTATTCTTTGCAAAAAATTATCCTGAACAGAACCGTCACCCTGGTAATAATTCGGTGTGAATTAAAAATAATTAAATAAAACACTATAAGCATTTAAAAGTAAGTAATTTTAATAATGTAAATCATAATTCAAAAATCAGTTCAATTTTCATTGTAGTGCTTTTTGTTTGATTACCTGGCGCATAGACAAACAAATCTGATGGTTTACCAATACGGGAGCAAACAACATACAATTTTCCATGTGAGAAACATGGGTTTTCTAAATTAATACCACAAACACTTAATGATACCATAAACGCACTGGAAACGCATTGGGATGCATGGTGCGAGAACATCTTCTGCTTTATACTATACTTTGAATATAGTTGGTCGGTATTTCGCAACATTATAATTGCCGATCCAACCTTTAATTGGAGATTGTGAGGTGACAATCCTAGCAAATCCAGCGAGTTTAAAAACTCCGGTGGATCGTCTTGGTTAGTTGCCGAATCAACTGATTCGCCTGTAATTTGTTCTTGAATTTTGAAATTTAATTAAATAATTTAAATATATTCAAAATTAGATTGTCAAAAACTACACAAAATGTCATGACATAGATCATTGTTTTTTTTACAAATTGCGTTGCCTACTCGATTAAAGAAGAAAAGGGCTGTTTTTAGGGTTTTCCCGGCAATTATTCGTTTTTTTCTCTCCGTAACAACCATCCTTGGACTTCAACGAACATTTTAAAAAAAGAATTGGCCAAATTGGTCCAGGCGTTGTTGAGTTATGCGCTTACCAACACATTTTGCGATCCATTTTTATATATAAGATGTTAATTATCTAATGCACCCACAATGCACATTTTTCTCAATTTATTCGAATATGAACCGTCGTCAGCTTGGAGAATTTATTAACAAAATAGGATTGATAATATGGATATTTAACACATGATGATTTATGAGGGTCGTTTTGAGCAATTCCATTATTACGCCAAGTTTTATCCAAATCCTAGGCGAGCATCAAGAGGGCTCAATAAGGGAATCAAACACATAATTTATGAAAATTGGAATAATGCAGTAAGTAGAGTATTATTGCACTAGTTATTTTCCGTTGGTGACACCTAATACACCGATTCGATTCGATAATCGATTCCGCACCTATATGGTTGACATAATGCATTAACGTAGGATCTCTTTTAATTAAAGAAACTCGGTCGTATAAATCATTACAAACGAAAAAAATCTTTTAAAGTCCTGTTTGTCATTGGCGCGTGTGCCGTGGCAAATAGTTTTCTATATACTTTCCGAGACCTTGGCGAATTTTTCTAATGAATTAATAGCAGTAGGCACAACTTTTCCTAGATATGTGATAAGTTACGAACGTTATCAAATAGTTCAGTGTGTGCGTAGTAAGAAAGATTGTCGCAATCATTGTTCATATGTAGAGGGGTAACTAACAGAACTATATATAACGAGGCGTGGTCGCTATACGGTATAGTATCATTTTCATCTAACTACTAGTAATAACAAATAGTGACCAGTACATTATAGCAATGGCTGTACAGGTATGTCACGACATTATACAACACAACGATCCTTTCAAACGAAGGTTCGACGACGAAAATATCGGTTTATTCGACGCTAAATTTTATAATAAGGAGAAGGATTAAAATTTTAACACACACAAATTTTCATTTTCTGTTCCAATGTACGTACTAAAATTTAGTTTATTTGGGGATTGTCGATACCAGAAAAATATAATAACGAACGAAATTGGTTTACGAAAAATTTGTTTTCATGGTAGTATCTGAGTGATGTATTATATTTCAAAATTACATATTAAAGTTTAGCTTATTTGGGGTAGTTCAAACCATGAGAATATAATAACGGTCGAAAATCATTTAAGTTTTTGTACGAAAAGTTTGGTTTTAAATATTGATTTATTCGTCGCAAAGTTAAAGGGATTACAAATTCAATTAAGTCGATAACTAAGGTTTAGCTTATTTGGGGTAGTTCAAACCATAAGAATATAATAACGATCAAAAAAAGTGTGGTTCCACGGTATTATCTGAGTATTTTTTTTATATTTCTAATTTACATAATAAAAGTGAGTTTATTTGGGATAGTTTAAACTACAAAAATATAATAACGATCAAAATCGTTACGTTCAAAATTACGAAAATTTCAGTTTATTTTTCAATATCTGAGTAAATCATAAATGAAATTTCAGTTTATTTTTCAATATCTGAGTAAATCATAAATGAAATTTCAGTTTATTTTTCAAATGGTATGGTATTTCAAACCATAAGAATGTAATAACGAACGAAATTGTTTATGAACGAAAAGTTCACGGTACAATCTGAGTAAAGTTTTGTATTTTTGATTTACATAATAAATTTTTGTTTATTTGGGGTAGTTTAAACCACAAAAATATAATAACGATTGAAATTGATTTCAGTTTATTTTAGAAAAATTTGGTTCCATGGTATTATCTGAGTAAAGTATTATAATTCCAATGTACATATTGAAGTTTAGTTTATTTGGGGTAATTTAAACCATAAGAATATAATAACGATCAAAATTCATTTCTGGACGAAAAGTTTGGTTTCATTGTATTATCTGAGTAAAGTATTATAATTCCAATTCACATATTGAAGTTTAGTTTATTTGGAGTAGTTCGAACTATAAGAATATAATAACGATTGAAATTCATTTAAGTTTAATTTACGGAAAGTTTGGTTTCACGGTGCAATCTGAGTAAAGTATTATATTTCTAATTTACATAATAAAAGTTGGTTTTATGGGGTAGTTTAAACGATAAAAAAAATGAGTAACGTCAGAATAACTCAAAAGTAGCGTTTAAGTAATTAGTATTCTTTGTGATAAATAAGATCTCATCCAGAGCGATTATATTTTTTAAAACAAAATGTAAAATCGGTTGAGAATTTAAAAAAAATGGGTGAGATATACCATTTATTCTGCATATTTTTTGCCAACTATTTATGTATCTTCTACCGTGTAAATATTTAAATATTTATATGCAACGTGCGGTTAGGTTTGTGCAACTATTCACAATATTACATATTTTAACAAAGATCCCGTATACAGTATTATACATCGTTAGAATCATCTCAAAATTCTTAGTTTTTTCTCCATATACCGCAACTTCGTGTTTGAAACGGTTTGGCCTATGGGCGAATTGTAGTGCTGAAATTCAAGGAAAATTGGAAAATCTCAAGAAAATTGTATGAACACGCATATCGAATTCATTTTATTCGTAATTTTATTCTGCATCTTTTGCCCGAACAAACTTCTTACATACCTTTTACCATTTAGCTAGTAGTATAAAATATGTGTGATTATTCAGATGTTTAAATACAAAGTGCGGTTAGGTTTGAGCAACTATTTACACTATTTCACATTTTCATAAAGAAACCATATAAAGTATTATACATCGTAAGAATCATCTTAAAATTCTTAATTTTTCTTTCATATGTCACAACTTCCAATAGTTTCAAACAGTTTGGCCTATAAGCGAGTTGGAGTGCTGAAATTTAAGGAAAATTGGAGAATCTCAAGGAAATAATATGAACACACACATCGAATTATATATAGTTTTATTCGTCATTTTATTCTGCATCTTTTGTCTGAACAAATTTTTTACGTATCTTTTACCGAATATGTGTGAATACTTACTAACCATTTGAAGTTAAAAATAATTACTATAAACTTAGTTTTTTTTAATTTTTTATCTTTATCATTTAACTAGGTCGTTTTACTAGCTGTTACTGATATGAATATTATTAAGTCTATTTATCAATATTACTAATTAATTTTTTTTCTATTTATTTTCAGTTGATCGCCTTCGCATGCCTTTTGGCTGGAGCTTACGCAGGAGGATATGGTTTGACCGGACATGGAGGTGGACATGGAGCAGTCCTCGTAGCACATGCCGCCCCAGTTGTACATAAGGTATTTAATATAGTTTTTAATCATTAGATCATTAATCACTTCATAAAAGGTTGAAATTCGTACTACAATATTCTTATGTCGATTATACCTAAATCGAATTAATTAAATCAAATATTTTATTTTAGTTTTATCTCTAAATTAGCTTCACACCCTTTCGATATAATGCATGGATAAAATTGAAAATCGATGTAATAGAGTTCTAAATTTTTTTTATTTTCTGATTGCAATTTAATTATTTTTAGAAGAAAATAGCTTCATGGTCACCATATGCTTCATTTTATAAACAAATTTTCTATTAATTTAATATAGCAATATTCCTTTCGGACTTTTTAAAATTTAAATCAGTTCCAGACACATCATGTGCTTCTTTTTATAAACAAAGTTTCTTCCAAGTTAATATGGAAATATTCTTCTGGCGATTATACTAAAATTTAGATTAAGTTCCTTTTTCTAATTTTACATTTAAATTAACTACAGGCACAACATGTGCTTCACTTTGCAAACAGAGCTTCTTTCAAAACAATTTGTTTCAATTTAATTTAATTAAATTCAATAATTACTATTTAAATTCAATTGATTTTCTTAATTCTGCGCTCCAATTAGCCTTGCGAAGAAATTGAATTATTAATTGAGAATTTGCTTTAAATATAAACTGTAGTTTATAATAATATAGTTAAATTATTAATTACTCTTTCGGGTTTTCTACTGCTTTTATAATTTGGTTGTTAAAACCCTTTAATAGTATGAAAACAGCTCGATATTGTTCATGTGCCTAATATAAAAATTACCAGAATCTTTAATAATCTGCAACATAAAAATATTAGCATATGATAATTAGCTTAATAGATTCAAATAAACAATTTTACAAGAACTAACTTATTCAGTACTTTTGATCAGCTTATTAAACCAAAATATTAGCGTAAAATACAAGAATCTACTCTAAGTATTACTTCTGTTCTAAATATCTGGTGCTAATATTTGATGACAAGTATCGAATATTTATTACAAATTATTAAATATCTACATATTCGTTATTTTGTATATTCTAAATACAATATCTATAAATATAATAAATCAGTAGGCCTGAATCCAAAGTACTCTTTTTCTTGGAATAATAGAAATAAAGCTTTTGGTTAACACATTTAGAACTTTTGATCAGCATTATTTAGTCAAAATACTAGCATAAAATATATTAATCTAAAAGTGTTACAGTTATATTAAAGATCTCGGTGCTTCGATATTTTGTATAATCTAATACATATCTGATATTTTTTTGCTGAGTAGAATCAGTAGACCTGCATCCGAAATACTCCTGCCTTTGAAGAAATCTACAATATGAAAAATAACATATGGTTATCATCCAATTAGATTCAAATGAGCGAAATTGGAAGAATCAACATGTTCAGTACTTTTGATCAGCATTATTAACTCAAAACATTACTTCTAGTTTTACTTCTATACTAAATATCTGGGTTCCATTCTTTGAAGACCAATATCGAATTTTGTGATGCAAATTCTTCATACGGCTTAGACGACTGCCATATTTGAGTGATGATATCTATATTCTAAATATTTTATATCTTTCAGGCTGAAGTAGAATCAGTTGACCTGCATCCAAAATACTCTTTCTCTTATGGAGTAGATGACCCACACACCGGAGACCACAAGGGAGCCGAAGAACACCGTGATGGCAAATCCGTCCATGGATCATACTGGCTGAAGGAAGCCGATGGCAGCAAACGTGTTGTTCAATACCACTCTGACCCACACAACGGATTCAACGCCGTAGTATCCAGACAACACAACGTGCACCCATCTGGTAAGTTTTTGAATAAATACATGTGATTAACCTGTTTGATACTGATGAACTCCTAAGTTCATGATAAAATCTTAGGAAAATTGTGTCTGTCACTTTTAACCCTTTCCATTCGAATGTCGCTACACCAGCAGCAAAATACGTATTGATTCTGCAATTCGCGAGTGAAAAGGGTAAATACACTAAAACATTTTAAAAATCTACGAAATTGTAAATTTGGTGAATCCAATTGCTAACGAATTTGCTAGTGTTGACACCCTGGTCTCAAAATTATTTAGAATCTTTTTAGGATAGTGATGATAGATTGTTTTCAAATCTAATCATTTCAACTATTTGAATCCATAAATATATATTCTTATTTGCTTTTCTATTGCACCTCATTTTAAGAATTTTCATGTCCATCAACAATAACCTTCACTAAAATTAATTCTAAAATCTAAATTTTCTATAAGCTTTACATAAACTCATACTTTCACCAACTATTATACGTACTATTAAGTTATGTACACCAAAAGTGTTTATCCCATTTTAATCGATTTTATTGATCATAATGAATGAACTAATTTAAATACTGTGATTTGGAAAGTGCACATGTGATATATAAAATCAATTTATTATATAATACCAAAGTATCGAAAGTATGTGGAACGTTTAAGATTTGTATCTTTATTGCCAAGATTTCTTCTATTAGACATGAGCTCATAAGATTATCACATAAACCTCATATTAGTTTTGATTTATACCGAAATATTTTAATTAAATTGTTAGTATCACAAACTTGCTGCTTTTATATACAGCAAATCTATAATCCAAAAATTTCTAAAAATATTTAGATAAATTCATGAATCATCAGGGCTCTATGTGAATAAGTTGTAAATTGATAATTACAAGTGTTTTTTATCTTATTACCAATCATAATTAATACAGAATAATATGTCGCTGTCATAATCAATCAATCGAATGAATTTACATGAATCGATGAAGTAAATCTCGTTAAAATTTCATATCTTGTATTATATAAGTGCAAAATAGCTTCGAGCTGAATATGTAGATCGTAAAGTAATGATGTCGGCACCTGACTAAATTATAAAACGACCATAGTAACAGGATCATTCTTAACATTATGAGGCAAGTTTTGTGCTTTATTCGTTAATTGAAGTTGGTTTCAAAGTATTTGGAATTATTTCCTTATTGAATTTCATCACACACATATATGTATATATCTGTGTCTGTTCTAATTCTCTCTAACAAACGAAGAAATATTTATTTGACTTATGGTGGTAAAATTTAAACCTACGCTACATTTACTAATATGGAAATGGAGCTCAACAGTTTAAGCAAGTTTCTAATGGCACGATTACGCATATCTACTAGTTGCTTGAATAAAATACCTATTGCGTTTAGTTATTTGCGCATTTAAACACGTTAATTAATATATATCGATATAAATCTTGTTATACGCTATTAAAATTTATCGCAAAATAATAAGGAAGCATTGGGAATGAATTCTATAGATTATATTGATAAATATAAAGGGATTTTTCAATAATTGCGCCTATTCCATTATGGAATATCAGCAATTTTAAATAAGAATTTAAACAATATTTAAATAGAAAAACGTCACGTGTTTATGCCAAATAAGTGTTAACGATATATTGCAATTTAGAATAGATTAAAAAAAAAATTGCGTCTATTCAATTATGGAACATCAGTAAATTTTTGGTAGTACAAAGAATGTTTAAATCGAATGCCAATCCAGTAATTGGACTATGGATATGGTAAATGGATTTTCTAATTTCAAATAGAAGAAGTATGATATTTAGGATCACGTGTTCGTGCCATATAAGTGTTTTTTAACAATTGATTGCAATTTGGAATATATGTTGAAAAAATTTGTGCCTATTTCATTTGGAACATTAGCAATTTTTTGGTAGTACAAAGAATGTTTAAATCGAATGCCAAGCCAGTGATTGGACGTCCGTTAAATGGATTTTTGTAATAATTTCAAATAGGAAAAGTTCAATGTTTTGGATCACTTGTTCATGCCAAATAAGTGTTTTTTACAATAGAATGGAATTTGAAATAGATTTTGAAAAAAAATTGCGCCTATTCAATTATGGAACATCAGCAAATTTTTGGTAGTACAAAGAATGTCTAAATCGAATGTCAATTCAGTAATTGGACGTCCGATAAGTGGATTTTGTGATCATTTCAAATAGAAAAAGTACATTGTTTTATGATGACGTGTTTATGCCAAATAAGTGTTTTTACCCATAGATTCAAATCTGGAATAGATTTTGAAAAAACTTGCGCCTATTCAATTATGGAACATTAACAAATTTTTGATAGTACAAAGAATGTCTAAATCGAATGCCAATCCAATTATTGGACGTCCGTGTATGGTAAATAGATTTTGTAATAATTTCAAATAGGAAAAGTACAATGTTTTGTATCCAAAAAAGTGTTTTTAAAAATCCCACGTGCCAATGTGATGAAGGACAAGAAACAATAGAACATATCTTTGGAAATGTGAAATATACGAGATATCAAGGAAAACAATGTACAAAATGTTACAGAAGATAGGAATCGTGTTTCCTTTTTTTTATTTCTGATAATAACATTAACATATACAAAATTGTGTATAAGTATACCACTAATATTGAAATTATTTTAGAAATTTTTGAAATGTATGTAAATGTAGGTATCCATGTAATTGGCCAAATGATCGAAAGATTCAAAGCCATAAATAAATTAAAAAAAGGGTTTTCAACAATAGATTGAAATTTCGAATGGATGTTGAAAAAACTGACACAATACTTACATTACTAATTTGTAAAAAGGACACTAATAAAAACATTAACATGATCCCACGATAAATGGAAAGCCAAACAAAACAGTATCTGGTTATGTAGTTAGTCTTTACCTCAGAAATTTAATTTCCCTTTTTTCAACCTCAAGGCCCAATTGCCCACGGACAGTGATTGGACGTCTGGGTACGGTAAATGGATTATGTAAGAATTTCAAATAGGAAAAGTAAAAAGTTTTTGTCACGAGTTTACGCTAAATACTTATTTTGAACAATTAATTGGAATTAGTTGAAAAAACTACACTTATTTATTACTAATTTGTAAAAAAGAGACTAAAAAGATATTAACTTGATCCCAGGATAAATGGAAAGCCAAACAAAACAGTATCTGGTTATGTAGTTAGTCTTTTACCCCAAAAATTTAATTTCCCTTCCTTCAACCCCAAGGCCCAGTTGCCCACGGACACGGAGGTCACGGAGGATACGGAGGTCACTTCGCCGCATCCGGACACGGTGGACACGGACACGCCAGCAGCTACGCTAACACCTACCACGTCGCCGACCACCAGGCCGCCGTCGTCCACCACGCCGCCCCTGTGGTTCACCACGCTGCCCCAGTAGTGCACGCCGCTCCAGTTATCGCGCACGCCGCCATCGGACACTCCGGACTCGGTCACTCCGGTCTCGGACACTCCGCCGCCGCTTTCGTAGGACACTCCGGAGCCGGAGCGCATGGTGGCCATCACTGGTAAACGACAAGAGAAAAGAAAAGCATATATCATCATCATCACATCACAGCCCATTGCCCACCACGACGATCATGTTCATAGATTATAGTGAATAAAACTGCGTCCATTCCTTAAAAAGTATTAGAAGATGCTACTATCAGACGTTCCAAAAATCTTACGTGCTTTTTGATCCGTCTGCTTGTTACATATATTACTAGTTATTATTATTTATACGCATGTATCTATTCTTCTAATACACTATTGTCTATCTATATAATTTTTTTAGTTTTTTCCTATTATTTTCTTCTTTATTTTATCTTCTACTGCATGTTCATATATTTTTAACTAACTTTCTTTCTGGGCGCAATTTTCATATCACCCTTATCACACAAGCACAATATGATGATGGGAAGCAGTAAATTTGACGACTTTTGACGTCACAGTCATTCCGCTTATTCATCAACACAATTGTACTGATCATCACAATATTCACACGTTTCACATGAAGTTGGAATCGGTGTAATCCATAGTAGTATTACATAATTACACAAGCATTAAGTATAATATGTAGACTTTGTATATAATAATGTAAAACAAAACAAATCATAATATAAATATATTTATAGCGCATCAAAACACATTGTTTCATTCATAGAATCTATCATCTATCTATCATCATCAAAATGTCATCAAGCATTTCTGCACGCATTCACTCAAGCCTTTGATGTTTTTCAATAAATTCTTTGATCATTATTCACCATATTGCGACCTTTCATAAAATCATATTTGCTATTCAAACAATCTATTTCATTGATTTCAAATAAATCTGTTAATCATAAATTATAATATGAGAGGCAAACAAATAAAACTAGAGCACGCCTCGGCCGCATATACCAGATCACATTCACCTATAACCACTCTCGCATGTTTTCAAATGAATCACTGCCAATAATTAAATCGTCTACTGACCATGAGATGATTTTCAAATGATCATAAGGTTGCAGATATTAAGTCACACTTACTTATGAGAGCAATTGCAATTAACGCCACAGAGAATATTTTATCAAATGTTTCTTCGGTGAAAGTAAATAACACTGCCAATAATTGAATCATCTACTGACCATGAGATATGATTTTCAAATGATCATAAGGTTGCAGATATTAAGTCACACTTACTCGTGAGCAATTGCAATTAACCCCACAGAGAATATTTTCTCAGATGTTTCTATGGTAAAAGTAAATAACTGTGTTTTCGGTATGATACAGAAGATATGTTGATGGACATATCTAATATAAATTTATTTATCAATTATTGTTTCAATGAACCAACCCCAAATGACTACTTTGAATATACACTTTGGAACTTTGGAATTTCATTATTCAATAACACGTAAGAGGGTCTTCAGTTTATGAAAATTTTTCAATCTGGTGAATAAATACTACAGTATATACTGTTGTATATAGCTCTCAGTACTGCTTTAAAGTTAAAATGAGCTTGTCATAACGTGGTGTTTCTGGAATCGCTTTTTTCATATTCAATATGTATGATGATTACATGGTTTAAACAAGTTTGAACAAGAATCACCCATTTGGGTATAAGAGTTTGTTTAAAATTGGCATTCTTTTTTTCATTTATTTCCACATATTCATTTTCATGTGTATCTAAACTTAAATGTAAATGAAATTTCTATGTCGCTGTAAAGATTCACTTTGGAAATATTCTTCGAAAATACACCAATTCAATATGATAAATGTTATTCCACGGAAGTTGATAATTTTCGCCTATTGCGCCGTTGTTTTGTTTCTATTGCATTGTTTTCTCATATTGCATTTGAACACGCAATACTTTATTGTTTTGTTCTTTGATAATTCAATCATTTATTATTTAACCGACAATTGTTCAATTGCTGTGTTTTTGCGCTTCATCAGTGGCATTCATTTTTATTAGCGTAGGTGCTTGCATCAATAAAACTGGGAGTTATAGTCCAATCCTAAAGCAGTGCAGTAAGGAAAAAAATCGATTCAATGAAATTGTTGAACAATGGCTATTTATTTATATTTTGAAGAAGAAAAAGAAATTTTATTTAATAATATAATAAATTCCTAAAGACTGCCCAAACTGTAAGAAGAAAGAAGCATATAACTCGAAATAAAAGTGTCAACTGCATGATATTACCCAACGCAGAAAATAAGGCTGAAAGGACTAGGAAGAAGAAAAATGCAATGACTGACTGGAAGTGAAAATCGTCGTAATATATTTGCACTGGATGTAAAAATGCTAGTAATTAAAAAGCAGAGGTACCAAGCATAAAAGCAATTGTTTGAGAAAGGTGTATGATTTGTCAAAATCGGTTCAGAATATTTGGCGAAAATATGGACGAATAGTATTTATCCGCTAATTATAAAGAAACTGTTCGGTCAGTCCTTTTGAAACCGGTGAAGCCACTTTTGAGTAACGATTTAGAATGACTTGAAATGTCGAGATAACTTAAAATGAACAAATCAGATTTTCTGCTGAGAACATAAAACTCCGTCTGAAGAGTTCTGCCTCATAATTATTGTCTGGAATACCTCAAAAGACCTTTCGTTTTTAAAATAATCATACATCGTTTTCTAAAACTTTATCGCACACACGGAGGTTAATTTTTTTTCTTTGGAAATTTCTATTGGCTGTTTATTGTCATCTCAATTTTTTTTTAAATGAAAACCATCAAACCTAAGACATTACAACTTCAAAAATCTAACGACAGTAATACTAATGACCAAAGTGAGAACTGGGTGTACAACACTTATTTAGAAATCAGTAAGTTCTAACAATTGGCAATAATGCGATAAGAAGCAGCTAGTTTTTAAATTTAAATTATTTAGATTACTGCAAGCCAAGATCAAACCGATTATTATCTATTGATTAATTGAATAATCAATTGATTATTGTTTCGAGAAATGGGCTTATCTTCAGAAGTTCCAGTTTTGATACCCGCTTCAGACAGCCTAATGTCAAACAGTATTTATTGACATTGGTTTTCACTTGGAATTAGGATAGCAATATGTTTTCAAGTGAAAATAGCCTTTACCAATATTGTTGAACCAATAAAAAATTCATCAGTAGTACAAAACTCGTTAAGTTAAATTGATTGCGTAGAGATAGTAGTAATTATTATATGGACTTGACTTTATTATATGGATTTTTAAATTGATCAGTTTGTCATTGTAATTAGCATTTAGGACTTGAACCTTCATTACAAAAATGAAGTAATTGCTGATTAATAAGTTCTAATTGCTGTTCTAAGTGCTGATTAATTTGTTCACAGAGTGGATTACGTTGAACAACAAGAAAGTTAGGGATATCTGTGATTTAAAATTCTATTTAGATTTGAATAAAGGACAAAGTTACGACAAGCGGAAAGATAGAGTTTATGATCCTCCGGATGTACCAGGATATTTTGACCAGGCTGTCTGGTCTGGACATTTAAGAAATAAGTCTGAAGTTCTACAATATGATGTAGAATTTTCGGATGGGATGAGAAAATTTTTATTGACACTTATTAAACAGTATGATTAATAAGTTCTGTAATATTTGTTCACAGAGTAGATTATGTTGAACAACGCATAAAGAAATATTGCTTTCACAGTTCCACTCATCATGTAATTCTGTTTGAAGAACTTCATGTAATTGAAATTAACATACAATCATTGACTGCTTGTATTTCTTTTTACTTTTTTGTTAGCGATACAATCTCATTCTTTGACCAGCTGTAATATTTGTCTCGCCTATAAAAATTTTAATTTTCCATTTTAATTACTTCGAAGATTTATAGAAACTACGAATAATATAGAAATTATTTCAATAAACTTATGTTTCTTACACGGCACACATGTTTCATTTGTTTTATTATTTTCTTTATAATTATTTACGAGGGATAGGGTAAAATATTCTTCTGATTCAGGCTTTTTTTTTATTTACTCAAGATTTGTATTCCGATCTCCTCGTTTATGTACGCCGGTACGCATACAAATGAAAGATATCTATTCACTCGACACGACGACTAATCACAATCGACCCGTATAGAAATAATTTCATCGAGAGCCAATGAGGAGCAGTTCGGGCGTAACGCAACTTCCGTTGCATTTTCACAGATTCACTCCCTTCACGCCTAAAGAAGTTTTACTTCAAAAATAAAAATGATTCAAAATGTCGGAAGCCGAAATGGAACCAATTATCTTACTACATAGTATGAACATGTACAGGAACTGATGGTGTAATTTTAGATACCATGAAAGGGTAAATATCATATAAGCAAAATTGCTCGAAGAAAACGCGATAATATTTCAATAAAAGTGTCAGTATTGAGTATGAGTGAGCACCATCTTAAAATCGATCCGTGACCCTGATATTGTGCTTCATTGTCATCGAAATTCGACCTCACAGTGTCTCATATAGCATAATCGTCCAATCAACTATCCTCACACGCAGTGTTCGCTTTGTATACGATGCTGACACTCCACGCAACAATAAGTCAAGCGAAATCATACATCTGTGCACATGTTCAGAAGAAAAACAACATTCGAAGGTATGGCATTTCATACAGATCGCCTTAAATAATTTATATTTGTAATATACGCCATGCATAACTCCAAAGAAATACTAGCAATTATTTCCGAAGTGATAGTAAACTGGTTAAAAGATACAGTGCACGTGTGTGTTTGTTAAATGTGACATAATTCCTGAGCGCATGTGTTACTGTGACCAGTGCCTTGGGTGATATGCCGCATAAAATATATAGTTCTGCTACTTAAAAATAATATTAAATGAGAAAGTATTATGTAAGATTTAACGACCTGCATCACTAACTTTGGCTTAAGATTTTTATCTCAGGTTGTTGTATTGTCAAATATGGCACGTGGTGCAAAATAATTGCATCAAACAACTATACGTGGGTTGGTGTATCTACTTCCTTCGTGTACTAATAATTCCATACATTACATTGCAGTAATACTGTTTCATTTTTACTTCTCAAGCATTCATTTCCGCATATTTCAATTCTGATCAGATGATGATAAATGACTTGTTATCAGTAAACTGCAAATAAAAATTGTTGCCGAAGTATCTTCGTATATCAAATATCCAAGTATCGAAGAATGATTAAGAAATCGATACAATAAATATGTTATTATAATCACATTTTCGATCAATATGCATCCTATTTCATCTCAGGTAACAGGTGAATCACCTGTATACATGCCGGGAATATTGAGATTTTTAATTTTAACACCTATTCTCCGTCTTGAATGTTAAAAATACAATATATTAATTTATAAAAATGTAAAATTATTACTAATGTGTAACTTTAGTCCTCAAAAGAAATTTTAAAGTCCCTAAATTCTTAACGTTGAAACTTGCCTGTATAGCAAACAAAATATGATAAGTATAAAATTATTGTTTTAATAAACATTTTTATATTTTAAAATCTTAAAAAAATGAAGTATTTTTTAAATCATTTGCGATATTTCAATTACAATAACATTTTTTCAAGGCATTCAAAATTTTTAAATTTTTGAAGAAGTTTAAGGTTTGCGGTTTGTTTTTTTTTCTGAATCATCAAACAATATTTGATATTATGGATTTATCAAAATTGCTCCTCCCGAGTAATTTTCAAAAAAAAGTTAAGTAAATCACCAATCCATAACTTAGTAAGAAAAATTTATAATATAGTTTATGCATATTTCAAATACATATTTTTGACAATAAAATGCTCGTAATTTTCTTCTTATTATTAATATAAAGCTTTTGATCGACAAAAAAAAATTAATAACATTGAAGAGTAATTTTTTAATTTTTTCTCAATATGATTTGATTGAATTTCATACAATATTTAAAATATTGTTTTATTTTTTACAATTTAAGAAGAACTTCAACGTATTTTTAGAATTTTTCTATATTAACGCAAAATTCAAAAATCAAAATCATTTTATTAAAATTTTATTATCACAATAGTTCATAGGACTCTTGAATCCTGATGGCTGTTCAAATAAATAAATAGAAGCATGAACTTTAAAAATAGGCATTGAACACTTTACATTATTTTGAAACTTTTGTTATAATTAGAATGACTATTTTGCAAACTTTAATTTTTAAATATTGATATAATGCATCTTTTCCAAAATTTTGAATTAATTGATAATAAAATAAAAATTCATTTCTTGAAAATGTTTATGTTAAAAACATTATTATTAAAGAAAAGAAATTTTTGCTATAAATCGAGATCATACTTCTCATGAGTCACTACAACATTTTTAGTAACAATAAATATTTTTAAAGAATTTTTATGCCTTAAGTTCTGAATTCTGTAATAGTAAAATCAATAGACTTATCCAAATCGGAAAATAATATCGAGTTATAAGTTATCTCATACTTCTTCCGATGTTATCAAAAAGATTGCGATATACTTGATAAATTAATACAAAAATTCAACTATCAAAGGTTAAATAAATAAATCATTGATATCCAATTTAAATATTCTAGAAAATGATAAAATCTTAGTTTCGATAAAACATAAAAATTTAATTGAATATTAAAATTTATATTTGAATTTTATAATTTTATTAATTAGTTTAATAACTTGGCTCATAATTCTATAAAACTGCCGGTGTTTATCAGAATGACCATTCGTGTGTTTTATTAATTGATCTAATTAATATTTTTTATAAACAGTATAGTATAAATAATCTTAAATTGCGCACTTTAATGTATGCATTCAACAAAAGTACAATACCGCAATAAACGCTGATTTAGTACTGCAAATATTAAATGACTAAAGTTGAGCTCATTAAAATATGTTTTGGTTTTTAATTATTTAAACTTTATATGAATTATATATAATAATAATGTATTTTTAAACAAATATTTGTAAAGATTTTTGTTTAAATTGGATGAACTAAAGAGAAGATCTACAGTACATATAAAAGGTTTCGAGTAGACAATGCAACAATATGTGTTGCACCTAAAAATAAAGTAGGCTTGAAGCCGAACTAATGCTGCGTTTTGGCATTTGTGTCATTTGGAGGTTATGTTGGATTTTTTAGAAAATTGTCTCTATGTAGAATATCTGCCAATTGATTAACTTGGTGAGAAGTGAAGTAAGTCTATTACCAAGGAAATCGCCTGCTTTATTTATAGTTTCTGGTAGTTGTAAATTGTAAAAAACGCTCGAGTAAACACCAGGATTGGTCCGGAAATTTGCCAAATGGTACTAACTGTTATAGATAAATTGATTTTTTGCTCAGTAGTACAAAAAGATTTTTTTCGAGTATTCATTGAAAAATTCACAAGTACTTGAAAAAAACAGTTGGGTCGTAGGTAAATCCTTATTACTACCTGGTTTTCAGCAATCCTCTCATCATTTCGATAGCAGCATCATTTTGAAAGCACTGCTTCAATCATTTGTCACAAGATAAGTCTTATTATCACTTTATCATTATCATGTAATTAGCATGTTGTATATTTAGGCTTAAATTTATAAACTCTCTTTTACTCGCTCTATTTTAGATAAATATTTCTAATCATGAGCAAATGGTTAGTGATTGGTATATCTGGTGTTAGTGGAGGAGGTAAAACCACATTAGCAAAATCGCTATATGAACTATTGAACAACAAAAAGGAATATAACCAAATAGAAGAATGTCACTTAGTCCATCAAGACGATTATTTCCGTCCAATAGATTATGAAAACCACTTATGGATGCCAGAGCTAAAACACATCAACTGGGATGTAATGGGAGCTTTGGACATGGACAGAATGGTCGATGATTTGAAAAAAATTCTCAAAAATAGTTCAAAGTTTGATTGGACTAAACATATAACTATATGCAGAAGCAATAACATCAGCAAATCATCCAATCCAGTTGTAGTGGAAACTGATAAAGTCAATATTCTAATTATTGAAGGTTTTTTGATACTAAACCATAAAGAAGTTAGGGATATCTGTGATTTAAAATTCTATTTAGATTTGAATAAAGAACAATGTTACGACAGAAGAAAAGATAGAGTTTATGATCCTCCGGATGTACCTGGATATTTTGACCAGGCTGTCTGGTCTGGACATTTAAGAAATAAGTCTGAAGTTCTACAATATGATGTAGAATTTTTGGATGGGATGAGAAAAGATTTATTGACACATATCAAACAGTATGTAGATTACTTGTTATCATATAATTAATAAAAATTAATAAAAAAAATTATTAAATATTTTATTTTAAACAATAAGTTTATTATTAAATATGTAAAAAATCTTATTATATAGTAGATATATACTTTGTCAGCTAATATTAAAACACGAAATAATTTTGGGTCTTACTTCACTACTTAAAAATCTAATTAACAAAAATATGAATTGCTTGTTTTATTGACCTAATTATGGAAATCGTAGGTCAGTTTTCTGTAAATTTTCCTCTATCCATTTATCAGCACGTTCATTGAGTTCAGGAGTGAATTCAGAGTTCCAACTGCCAGTTTGACCTAAACAAAGTTATTTGGAAATTACATCAATTCAATTTTAGAAATAACTTTCTTCAAGTTAAAATACCCTTTCTAACAAATCCTTGTTCAGATGGATTTAAAATTCCCAGTTCTTTCAATAGATCGCAATTAACTGATGGATTTTTCCGGAAATTGTCTATATGCAGATAATCTGCCAATTGATCAACTTGGTGAGAAGTTAGTCTTTTTCCAAGAAATTCGCTTACTTTGTTTATGGTTTCTGGTAAATCCTGAAAATATTTCATTGGATTTTCATTATATTATTATACAGATACATTAAAATGTATTAATAATTCATCGAGTAATTAGTACCTTGTTCATATCCTCATAAAACATAAATAGAACATTCGGGTGGTCCCTCTTAGCCCAACCTTCATTGACATGTGACCAATATGGTGTCCAGGGGTCTAAATATAAAGAATTATTATATCAGACATGATGAATTAAAAAATTATCAAACTGCTTGATTAGACTCATCATACTTAGATTCTTCTCAAAGTATTCCCAATATTTTGGAAAATCTCCTTTGTATCCTTGTGTTCTATAAAGACGATTAAGATGGTAAAATGAAACGGCAACATCTTTGGGATTTCGAGCAACGTAGATAACCTTAAACATGAGATTTCTAGTATTATTTATTAGATAAAGAAAGATATTAACCCTTTCCACTCGAATGCCGCCGCTCCGGCGACAAAATACGTACTAATTCTGCAATTAGCGAGTGGAAAACGTTAATCCTTGACTGATTTCTATGAATAAATGTTTATTTAATTAGTCGGAAGATTAAAATTAGCGTCATATGTCCATATATTCATCAGTGATTATTATATGTTGTAAAACTAGCAGTGTATTTTATATTCATTTAAAGACTGTTCTATTTATCAATTTTGGTATCTTGGGTGAAAGGATGGCGATGAATATTTACAATTCTATTTGTCCCATTATTTTAATCGAATTAATATATTACCAAGTATGACCAAGAAAATGGTGCTTTAATCAATATTAATACATTTATTGTTGTATGTCAAAAATTATAATTTCTTTAATCTACCTTGCATCCAACCTCCAATAAATTCTTGGGTAACAATGAAAATGGAAAATGAGTTTTTATAAATCTGGGTGAAGGAGTTTCATTAAGAATTTTCCATCCGGGTGCTACAATATTTTCTAGGAGCTTCTGGTTTTCGGGTGAATCTTTATGTTCTTGCATTATTTCTGCCTTGAATTCTTCGTGGACAAAAATGCTGAACCTATAAAAGCAATACCACATGAAATACATAATTTATATTTGTGTATTTCAATCATACAATCATACAATTTACAAAAAATAATGTAAATTGTGGGTAGCTTCAAAGTTGCTTTTCTGCCCTATTTGCTCTAAAAGTTATAAATATTTTTTACATTAATTGTATAAAAATTAATAATTTTAATTATTCTTATAAATCAAGTATGAATTATTTCGAATCGATTTCTGAAACTTCCAAAAACTCTAGATATAAATAGCAAGTTGCCTTAAGGCAGCGATTTCCAACATTTTTTGCACAGCCCTCCTGCTCTAATAAAGAATATGTTGCGCCCACCTTAATTTTTTCATCAATTTAATTATATAAGCACTCAACTGATATTATTACACTACAAATTTATTATGTAAAAATATGCATTTTTTCAATTTCATTTCATTTTTTTAATATCATTTCAAAAATATAGGGTTTTTTCCAAAAATAGTATTCTGGAAACAGATGTAAGCGCCATCCTGAGGGGGCGCCTCCCACAGATTGGAAACCGCTGCCTTAAGGCAAGTTGCAAAGACTATTTAATAATCAATTAAAAAATGAATTTTCCTAAAATCTCGGCTTTTATTCTAAATTTTAATGACTTTTAATAATCACACATTTGTATGAGCCTATATTATTTTAGGTCCAAATTAATTTAATATAAATTAATTGCGAAGAAATAATTTTTTTTATCAAAAACTAGTCAGCACGATCCTCAACTGATATCTGTCGTACGTTTTTTAAATTTTCAAACTCGATTCAGGATTTTGATCAAATTTCGGCTCACAAACACACATACTTTCTGCAATTTTGGTCTCAATTGATTTAGATTGACTTGAAACATCAATAAAAAAAATTACAACTTACTCCAGAAAGGGAAATCGCTCTGTTAATGGTATTTTTCTGGCTGTTTCAAAATCCAAATCATTTGCCACCATCCACACCAATTCTTGGGTCCAAGTTGTTCCTTGAAATTAAAATAATTAAATAAATATAATTATGAATATTAATTTATTTTATTTTAATATTATACCTGATCTTGGGAAAGTTACAACCCAGGTGTCATCTTTGCGAGCTTCAAAATTTATAAAATGTTCGGCATTTTCTGCATATTTGCTTGGAAAGAACCATTTTTCAGGTCCTACTTGTAAAAATCCTGTGCGTTCACCTAAAAATGATAATATACAATTATTTATGTGATATTATGTAATTTAATTTGCGAAAGATATTAATTGGCATTATTTGTTCGATTTATTGCGTCTTAATCAATTGAATTTATATTTTAATTGCCCTTGAAGCAATTTGTTTAATTGATTCAATAATCAGCTGATAGATTAGTCTGTCTTTTCATTTTAGTCTATTCATATAATTTGCATATACGTAATTATTTTTGCGTTCATTTTACTTATTAGTACATAGGATGATTTTTTTTTATATTTAGCAAAAAATTCTACATCATTAATATTAATACTAAATAGTATTGTTTGAGTAAATCTAAATATTTAGAATCTCTCTAGATATAGAATCCATAGCATATTTATAAAAATTTCAATAATATTATGATTCAAACAATAAAACATAGAGATTCTTCTTCCTCCTTAACAATAGCAAAATAACCATTTAGAAATCGAATACGTTATGATTGTTATTAAAATATTGGATAAACACAGCATAAGTGAATTTGACAATTAGAAAGCAGTTTTAGAAAAGAGAAATTTGATATCGTATATTGTATCTGTATATATGAAAAGAGAAAAGAATCTATAGAACAAAAATATAGGGTCAAAGGTTAAATTTGATTTTGATCGTTGATAAACATGTTCGGTTAAAAAATACTTGTCTTGAAATTAATTGCATATTTATATGGGAAATTACATCAAATCATTATATATGGACTTTAACATGGATAAAACACACACAAACACACACACACGTATGTATATTTATATATATATATTAGTATATTTATATATTAGTTTAATTTATTTATATATATATATATATATATATATATATATATATATATATATATATTGTACATAAATAGTACAGTTATAAATTTAAATGGAATTTTGGGTGCGACTTCATATTGGTAAATAAAGTTCGGTTTATTATAGATAAATGTGCCAATTTGTGGCAGAATTCATTATAATAATAAAATAATTACAAATAATAAATTGTAGAAGTTCTAAGCTTTTTGAAAATACATAGAAGATTTTGGGGTTCTAACTTTTAATTATCTAAAAGCCTCCTTATATGCCAAAAAATTACTATTTTAATTTTATATTTATAAAAATTTTCTACATTTTTATAATATGGGATATTCTTTTTTCAGGAACTTTGAAACTTAATTTCTTTAATTCATAATTTATTTCAAATTTCCTGAATAAGGACACATGGCATATCCCCGAAACGCAGAAAATATTTATAAATGAGAAATTAAATTAATTCTTATTTGGTAATGAAAGGAGGCTTATTTTCAGAAATTTGTTTTTATTAGGTTGAACAACAAAAGTAAAAATAATGATCTAAATATAAAATATAAAATTTTATATAAATATAAGTTTAAGAAAATTCATCCAATACTATAAAAATAAGTGTGAGAGTTGGACTACCTGATGACATTATTTTTTTTTTGTTTAAAATTGAGCTTTTTCATAAAATCAAAAAATCTCAATCAAAACTCAGTCGTTCAATTGACATAAATCGAGGTGAAAAATGATGTAATTTCTATAAGAATTCTTACGAATTAGGAGTTTGTGGTAAGAGGGTAAAAATTTAGGGTTATATGTGCTTTTTATATGCGCATTATAAAAAATCAAAATTGACTCAAAAATATTAAAAAATCTTGAGGGTCTCTTGACCACTTGGTTTTAATCAAAATATGCGAAATTCTGTCTGAACATATATGTACTTAACACTTTCTAAATTAATTAAAAACAATTATAAATTACAATATACTACAGTGAAGAAATATCTTAAGTTATTCAGATATCTTTATTAAAGATTTCTGAAGAACTTAACATATTTTCTTTAACGATTCTTCAACAAAATTCTTTCATTAAAGATTTTTTAACAAAACTTACCAGTAAAATCTTCTAGCAACTGTTTATTAATTTCCGGATCCACTTGTGTAATTTCAGGCACACTAGTTGATGCTTTTTCAGTACTTTCGGACATTGCGAATATAATTATTTAAAAACACACTATAATTATTAAATGTTTTGGTTGTTTAACAATTGATAACTACAAAATGTAAACAAACATTTATTTATTTGTACCCAGGTCGTCAGTATGTGTTCTGAACGACCATAAAATTACTACTGACCCGAGAAAGTGGTCGTACATTTGGCATGCTCGTCTCAAAATGAGACACGCACTCGCTTTCTTGGATGTCAATCAATTCTTGTTTTCAAGTTCACATACAATATACACATGCTAATGGTAATGGTAATGGTAATGGTAATTAGGTGTCAACGTCGGTCTTACAGGTAAAATAAATTGTGTATAGGTATAGGTATTAAGAGTTTAACTGATTTTTCATCTATGTGTAAATAAATATTCTACTTATAACGGTTATAAAAGGTATACAAGATTGCACAAAACCACTTCTAATTGTAAAAGAAATGAAAGATAATACAAATAGTAGTGTCAAAAAAAGAAAATACACGAAATGAAAAGAATATTATAAAATAAAAATATCGAATAAAGCTTAAATGCGCTTCGTATTGCACCATTCATTTAGCAAAAGCACTTTAGATCCATTATTTAAGCCTTGGTATCAAATTCGCATCATTGCAAGTTATTATGGAATTTCCTCATTTAACTCTAATAGTAAATAGCTATTAGAATAATTTTCTGCTAAGCGAGCATCTGAGATGAATTATATTTGAAGAAAACGATCTCATGAGGAAGCGTTTGATATGATAAAATATACAGTAGAAACTCGATTAACCGGACTAATTGTTGTAGCATTCGGATAATCGAAAATCCGGATAATAGAATGTATGAAGATTAATGTTGTGAATTTATTAAAAATAACAAATACAATCATAGATATCAACAAAAAACAATGTTTATTAAGAAATTAACACTTGCTTTATGTATCTTCATACATATTTTCTTGGATTACACTACATACATAATACTAAACTACATAAGCATTAATCATGAAATAGGTAGATATGTACGAATAATTTGTTTAGATAAATATAAATTTGGTTTGGTAATTTGGTTGAAAATGTTTGGTAATTGTCCGATTGCTTGCATAATTCGGCTTGTGGTATGTATGCATACACATAATTATTAATTAATTTAAATTAAGTCGCGGTTAGTAGTCCGGATAATCGCAAATCCGTATAATTGAGGTCCGGATAAACAAGTTTCTACTATGTATGAAAGTTTGTCTAACCATGGTCTAACCACTAATGTACTTTAGCTAGTATTATAGTGTGGATGTTTTAATTTAAATTTCTCAAATCACAATACCCTCAGAAGCGTATACCCCCCTATAGGGCCTTGAACCTCAAAAATTTCTCAAAAATTAAAAAAAAAATACTGGCATAAAATTAAAACAAATTTTTATTTATCATAATTATGTATCTGCAACTTTTTTACAATTTTTATTATTTTTAAACAATTTTAATATACTCTCCTTGCCCTTTACTCGGCAAACTGATTTGTCAAATCAGTGGAATGAAAAATTTGGGAAGTTCATATCATTTTTTAATAAAATATATTAATTAATGCGGCAGTAACTAGATATTTTAATAATAATAAAAAAAACTACGCCTCTACATCACATATAAACATTTTTGCTAATAATTGATGGTCAAGTTTAAGGTAATAATATGAACTTTGAAGTTTGATCGTCCCGATGATCTGTTTTTTATTTGAATATTTTAACATTATAATTGGAACTTCATTTATATTGTATATAATAATTCATAGATTATATATTATTAAATGGAGACGAAAAATGCACAACCTAGAAAAAAATTAAAAAACCTTTGTTCGGAATTCTTCTTCTTCTTTATCTTATTTAAATATCATCATCATTTAAATATCATCTTCAGGAATCTCATGTTTACTCTTCTGGAAATCTCATGAAACCTTGCATAATCATAGAGTTAATAGTCAATAGTATTGACTAATTTAAATCTGATGTTGACTATTTCATATTGATCCTTTTTTCTTATTAAAAAAGCAATAAACCACTTCTCATAGGCCTAAATTATTTTAAGAGGTTCGTTTTGAGTCAAAACAAGAAAAAAGGATCAATATGAAATAGTCAACATCAAATTCAAATTCTTGGATTTAAATTTTAAGATTAAGGAAGAACAAGTAAGATTATCTTGTAAGAATTTATTGTTCTAATGTGCAATAACTAAATAAACTATAGATTACACTAAAAACTAAATATATTATACGATAGCACCAGTATAGTGTTGTTGGCATTTTTGCCAATTTTTATATTTATAAACTTATATATATATATATATATATATATATATATATATATATATATAAAGCGAGAGGTTTTTCTTCAGAAGGTGAAATAATATGATAAAAATTGTTTCTTGGGCATCCATCCAATAATTAAAAAAACAGTTTTAATGCAAAATGTTTTAATTAAGAGAACATACGTTTCGGGTCCAGATTTGACCCATCTTCAGTGCATACAAATAAATTTTAAAAAAATATAACACAAAGAACAACACAAAAATGCAACGAAAAAATAAGTATGAAATGAAAAATTGAAAAAACATCAAGTTATGAAATTTTTTGAAAATTGTAAAGACTAAAATAAATAATATGTTTTATTGTAAAAAAGCTTATTCCAAAAACACATCTTGTTAGTTTGGAGACAGAGTTACGTAAACTCTGTTACGTAAACTCTGTCTCCAAACTAACAAGATGTGTTTTTGGAATAAGCTTTTTTACAATAAACATATTATTTATTTTAGTCTTTACAATTTTCAAAAATTTTCATAACTTGATGTTTTTTCAATTTTTCATTTCATACTTATTTTTTCGTTGCATTTTTGTGTTGTTCTTTGTGTTATATTTTTTTAAAATTTATTTGTATGCACTGAAGATGGGTCAAATCTGGACCCGAAACGTATGTTCTCTTAATTAAAACATTTTGCATTAAAACTGTTTTTTTAATTATTGGATGGATGCCCAAGAAACAATTTTTATCATATATATATATATATATATATATATATATATATATATATATATATATATATATGTAATTGCATATCCATAAAGTACTAGCAATGACATTATGCAATAAAGTGGTATTCTTTTTTACTTTAGAATATAGGTGAGAAATGTATCTTTAATTGAAACTAGTCCATTAATGATCCTAATTAGGACTCAGCAGTATGAAATATGAATAGAAAATTTTTCACATTATATTTCCCTAATTCGAGATGGAGTTTAATCCATTTCACAAATATGCCTTTGGTTAGAGCACACATTATTCTTATCATAATACTCAACACACACAAACAGATTAAGAAGTTGATGTATTTTCTTTATAAAACATGTATTTAATAAATGTTCAAACATAACAATGCTGCCAGTATTTCGAAAATATAGTTGTTCAGCACAGCCAAACAGTAGATATAAAATATGATTCAAAAAACATAATCATTCTATATATATATGTAAAAAAATTAGTATTTATACTTAAATTTTTCTTAGCAATATATTTCTCTTTTTAGGCGGCGTCTCCAAATAGACTCCTTCTAAAATCGTATCCAATTTTCTTGGTGAACCAATGTATTGTTCACAATCAAGAGGAGCAATGCATTTGTTTATAAATTCTACAGAAATTTCTGTGCAACTTTCTTCTGAAGATTCACTTTCAACATATTCATCTTCTTCGCTATATTCATTTTCAGAAAAGCTTTCAACTTCTATTGGAGACAGTGAAAATGCACTTGGAGATATCGATCGTAATGTAAAAGGTTCCAATTCATCAGTTATTATGAGTGTTTTCAGAGCATGATCCAGTCCGTCTAAGTCCATTCTAATTGAAAAAATTATGAAAAATTAAACAGAACTTGATATTATATATACAAATACGCATACCTCGATTGGTAGTTTTTGTCCATGTGGGATTCATCTCCAATAGATTTTTTTTGGGATATATCTGATTTCTTAGTATTATCATTTGCGTCCTTGTTATTACTTCGGTTTGAAAGTTTTTCCATTTTGTTCCTAGTGAAAATAAGAAGTGTGGTGAACTGCATACGCTTTCCACGAAGAAAGTGAGTAAAATAAATAAATATATTTACACCTAGAGTTACTGATGATAATATAAAAACTTTTATAAATTAATATAACAAAGAAAGGGCGTATGATATTATAAGCTCAGAAATTCAAAAAATTTAAATTGCACAACCTTTGTACAACTACAATGGTTTGCGGAATATTTACTATCCTTACTTTTAGAATATATATATTTTCATAAACAATTTGTGCCCCTAGAATAAATGCTATTTCTTGTTTTCTATAAATATCTTGTTTATAAATTATTTTGAAAAATATATGAAAAAACTCGTTAAAACAAACTGAACTGTCATTAAAAATAATTAAAATGGCAGTGTTGCCATATGGGAATCATGATACTTTTATTTAAAGTTCTAGAACGACATAATCTAAAATAATATTTCAAATTAAATATTTGTTTTTGTTTAATAATTTTAATATATTTAAATAAATATTTAACTTTGATTATAATCTTAATTAATTTTAAAATTTAATTAAAAAAATATGTTGAAAGATAATTTATAACATATGGCAACACTAATTTATTTGTTTACTGTTTTGACAACTTGTTTTAACCGCAGTTTATAAACTAACATAGTCGATTGTACTTATTTTTCTAAGCAAAAAAGATTATTTTAGTGAAACAATGTACAAATTAAGCATCTTATATGAGATGTAAAGGCTCATAAGAAAAATATATTTTAAAATGGAAACAGATGATTTTATATTACAATACATAATTCTGTAAAAATCGAATATGTCTTCAGAATCTACAGTAACAAAAAAATCTAAAGCGGAGAATCTCATTCAAAAACTTAACATTCATACTGCAAAGAAAGTTGCTTTGTTACTAGTACTTAGTTTTATTGGTTATCATGGAATACTTCACCTGCAATACGGTATATAATATAATGGCAACTTCTTTAAAAGCAATATTAACTTACATTTAAAAATATTTTTATAGGAAATGATTCTTGTCGGTGGTTGTTGTCTGATGGTCGCTTTAAGAGAGATAGAGATTGGCAGCCTTATGGCTGTATGATGCATCATTATACTCAAACGTAAGTGTAAATAAAGTAACTATTCAATATTAAACACTTCAGACAAATTTCTATATGCAAATATATATATATATATATATATATATATATATATACTCATATAATTTTAAATTTGTTCATTACATTGTCGTAATAAATGATTGTGTAATGATTTTGTTGTAATTAGATGTGTCAATTAGCAGCCATTGATTTAATAATTCATAAGTACATATTTTGAATCAATTTCTATTTAATTGCAGGGACACACGCCATTGTTTTCGTTATCTAGCATTTTGGGGAATGCATAATCATTTTGTATTTATTGGAGATTCTCGAATACATCAGTATTATGTTGCATTTGTAGATCATGTAAAATTATCACCTAAAAGTAGTCCATCATCGAAAGATTCATTTTTGAATGGTAAATATGTGAAATAATAAAAGTATTTCAAAAATTTTCAATATATTTCAATGTATTTATTTGTTATTGATTTAAATATGCACAGATACAAATTTATCTTATATGGATACAAAGCTTCGTCTCAAGGTAGATTATATTCATACCCCATATGTATCTACAAAAATGATAGATCAGTTTAATAAATGGAAGAAAGATGAAGATCCTCCTACAGTAATAGTAACAGGCACAGCTTACCCAACTATTCTACTTTATAATGGAAGCACACAAGCTCCTAAAGATTATGCCATGAATCTCACACGATTAGTGCAATCTATTGATAAATTACATGAGAAAAAGACTGCTGTTTTATGGATTCCACAGAGTGCTGTTGATAGTAATAAGTTATTGAAAAAATATAAAGCAATTACCAATGAACAAATAGATTTATATAATAGTGCTGCATTAGATATTTTAAGTCATTCATCAGCTGCAATATGGTCATCTGCTTCTTTGTTGACTTCAAATTTAATAGATTTCAGTTTGGATGGTCTGCATGCTCCATCGTTAGCTTTGCGGCATATAACTCAGATATTATTAAATATGTATTGCAATGATCATATGAATTATAATGATGGAACATGCTGCAGCAGCCCAGAGCAATATACTATTATTCAAGCAATAACCTTTGCTATTTTAGGGATTTGGTATGTACATTAATTTTAATGTATAAGCTTTAGTTTATATATATGTAATATAAGTATATATTTTTTCCAGTGTCATTCTGTGTTCTGCTTTGACTCTTAGAAGATTGTACCGGCATTACAGTGGTTCTAAGCCTGATTACATTTTACTCTCCTCTAATGGAGATTCAACAGTTTCAAGCAACTCTTACAAAGAACCAATTCTTGCACTTGCAAGTCTATCTCTCATCATGATCTATTTCTACATATGTGACAGAACAAATTTCTTTATGAAAGAAAATAAATACTACAGTGAATTCAGTTTCTGGATACCAGTGGGATATATGTTTACATTAGGAATATTTTTCACCGAAAACAGTAAGTTTACTAAAGTTTTACACAGTGATCAAACATCTGAACTAAAGGGTTGGATGCAATTAGTAATTTTAATTTATCATATGACTGGTGCAAGTAAAGTTTTACCTATTTACATGCATATCAAAGTTTTAATTAGTGGTTATTTATTTATTTCGGGTTATGAACACTTTTGCTATATTTGGCAAACAGGCAACGCTGGTCTTGTTCGTATGTTTCAAGTACTGTTTAAGATCAATTTTATGACTGTTGTTCTATGTTTATGTATGAATAGGCCATATCAGTTTTATTATTATGTTCCTTTGGTTTCATTTTGGTTTTTCTTGGTATATTTGATATTAGCAGTACCACCATATATCACAAATCATTCGACAGAAACTCATCCTTATCAATATTTAAATTTAGTTTTAAAACTAATTGCTTTGTTTAGTATTATTACGATTTTATATATGTCTGAAGTTTTCTTTGAGAAAATATTTGTTACTCGACCTTGGAAAGCATTGTTTGTAACTACTGATGATGATATTAGAGAATGGTGGTATAGATGGAAACTTGATAGGTATTCAATGGCATATGGTGTTGTATTTGCTGCAGTATTTCTTATTGCACAAAAATTCAATTTAATTAATGATAATAACCACGGCAATTTATTTTCAAGAGGAATAGCATTAAGTGCTATTTTAATAGCTTTCATATTTATTGGAATTTATACTACATTTACTTTTCTTTGTCATAATAAAGAAGAATGTGAAGAGGTACATAGTTACATAGTTTTCTTACCGATAATAGGTTACATAATTTTAAGAAATATATCAGGTTTTCTCAGAACTCGGTATTCAAGCTTATTTGCTTGGTTTGGCAATATCTCAACAGAGTTGTTTGTGTGCCAATATCATATTTGGTTAGCAGCAGATACACACGGTGTGTTAGTATTAATTCCAAGTTATCCTATGTTGAATGTTATTGTAACATCTTTTATTTTTATTTGCGTTTCTTATGAAGTACACAGAATTACAACTATATTACAACCATATGCAGTGCCAACTGATTGGAAATTAGTTGTGCGTAATGTAATTTTATTTTTGGCTGTGTTAGTTCCTATAGGAATCCATGATGGTATGTTTTAATATTTACATCGAACAGCATGAAATGCAAATTATGCTGTTAAAATTGTTTGTTGTAAGAGATATGAATGAATTTTCACATTCTCTCAATTTGGAAAAGAGAATTTTGTAATGAAAGCATATTTTTGTAACAATAATTTATTTATCACAATTAAATTTTTGTATTTAATATATATATATATATATATATATATATATTTATAAATATGTGTATATATGTATGAGTACACAGCACTCAATTTAATTTCTCGTTAATTGTAATTGATCCTTGTACATTGAAAAAGTTAAAATTCCAAGTAAAGATGTTGACAAAATAATTTTCTGCCTAAATTTTTATAAAGATATGAGATTTAAGAACAATTGAAAATTTACTATATATACATATTACAAAAATTCAAATAATTGTTATTCTTTGTCAAATACGTTGTTCTTTTTCATGATTACGATCATTGTCAGCTGGGTCATGTTTCACATGTGATGTGTATATATCATATCCCAAGGATATCGTATTATCATATAACACTCTAAACCTATGAGGTAATATATAAAAGTTTATGATTTGGGCTGGCGGCCAAACTACCCATTCAGCAGCGTAAAGCCTCCAAGCCTTTTTCTTAATTTCCTCTATTAATTCATCTTTACTAGTTTTTTCTAGTATAGCTAATGTAATAAAGAACATAGAAATGCATATTGGTGAGCATACAATTTGATCTATCACAACTTTTTTCATGACTATTCCTATTGTGCGTCCTGGCAATCGTTTATCTAGATATTTGTACCAATTATGACATATTATACCCACAGTCATTCCAGAAATTGACATGTGGTGTGTTCTTAGTTGATCATACTTCTTTAGTTCCCCTTTTAATATTTCATAATGTTGTTCAATCACATCGCCCACTGCTGATAAAGAGATTGATATTCCCACATTAGTGTATAAAAGATATTTATTACTGAATGCAGTTTTGGAAAATGTTTTAAGTCTATTAAGTAGAACTTCTTTTAATAGTTTTGTAGCTGTGATACTAGCTGGGTGCATAATATGGATTATGGCCTGGTGATTAAAATCTGTAAATAAACATTTGTGTAAACTATATTTGCGTTTAGCATATTTTTATATAATTGCAGGTCTTATTACCCTTTATTTTTCTGTGAGGTATATTATGTAATACTTGGACGACAAATAAGTCAATGCCAGAAGCCGAAAGACTTCAGAAATGTACATAACCTCACATTTTTGACGTAAGCCTCACGAGGAGGCCATCATTAATGCTCGTGAAGTTCGCCACAAAGAACGGCATAAAATTTGTAAAATTTGAGCCTAAAATTAAATATATTTCGGTATAATTGACTAATTTCTTTATTAATTTTAAGCATATTTAATAAAATAATATATAAGTCAATCAAATTAATATATAAAAAATTAGTATTCTTTTATTCAATATTCGAACCCATTTTTATTATTTTTTCCCGTTGGTACGTGTAGATGACAGTGTAATACGTTTTAACTAGACTGACACGACCGAGCCCTGAAATCATTTTACTCTTTCACTCAGTAATGTCGAAAACAAGCGTCGTGATACTACTGTTAAATGTTGGCGGAATAATTAAATTTTGTCTTAATAAATAAAAATAGTGGACAGTGCATATTACTATAAAAAATATTAGATGCAGAAAATTTTGCTTTCAACCAATTCAAAAACCAACATAGTTTGTTTATACATGTTTTTAATAAATGCTACTGTCAAATGTGTATTTTGAAGTGAATTGACACTCTTGTGCAGAAGTGAAATATTAAAAAGATGTTATCAATGTATGAAAGAAGAACTTTTTGCATTAGTTATAAACAAAATGTTGGTAAATTGTGAAAAACCGGAACATTTATGCATGGGTGTAGCCTTCGCGGTACATAAAAGTTCGATTCAATAATAACACGATTCATGTGCGAAATTATTAATTTTTAGTGTGTTAATTTATTTTATATTATGTGAAGAGCTTATGAAATTTAATAGTGCATTTATAACAGTACTTCCAATTGATGAGTATATATATTTTATTACAAAGTCGTAAACAGTTTATTATTATTATAGCTGCATTTTAATATTTTGGTTTAAACCTAAGTGATTAAAAATAATTTAATATAAATTTTAAAAAAAATGATATTCAATTTATATATTCGAAGTACATTGCAACAAATATTGAAATGATATAACTATTTTGTTAAGATTTAAATATTGTGTATAAGGACTAAAGACAAATGTGTTTGGAAAATCTATATGATTTTTAATAAAGTTAATTTATACAAACTGTTACAAGTGATTGTGCAATAAAACAAGTGTAATTTTTAAGTATTTCTCAAAAGGATATAGATAACAATAATGTGACTCTGATTCTTGACGATTCTGATTTACCACCATAGCAAAAAATGCTATAGTAAATAATTAATCAAAGCAATTTGCTTTTACCCCAGCAAATAAAAATTGATCATATCACCAAGATATGCTGGTTTCCCTCACATGATAGTATGTTCACCAAGAAGTGTTGCCCAAAAATCGACCGCGTTATTGTTTACAATTGCATTTGCTTGCTGTTACCTTCGTGATGGCCACAATCGGTTCGGATGGAATTGGCAGTAGCCGATGTGGTATTTTAGAGACTCGGGTGCGAGGTTGTTGGTATAGAGTGGCAGTAGTGTTGGAGGCAGATTATTTGAGTGTCACCCTTGATGAATCTTGTGAGACTTCGACGGCACTAAATGGTGGTGCATCGTTACTCAACAATAACAACAACCTGCCGGAGACGCCGTGCCGGGACGCCGATGTTCCGGACGCTGTGGCTAACCAGAAGCGACAGGTAGAGGTTTTGATGGTTTCTTGTTTATATATGTACTTATTTTTGACAGCAAATTTGGATCTGCTTAAACTTCTAGGTCGGCAGTTCGTTCATTTTTAGATGGGATTAGGTTTCAATTGAATTTTTAGGTTTGCTGGCTTAGTCGAAATTAAAATACGTTTTTGTTATTGGGCAGTAGGCAATGCAGTTGTTAATCAGTAAAAAAGATTTTTTTTTATCGATTTTTGATTGTAATTTTTATTTGGCGTTCGTTGAAAGATGGAGAATCAAATCGACAATTTTTGTCTTATTCTGCTTTTTCATTTCTGCAAAATTAAAAGCCTCACAAAGAGTATTGCTTTTTTCATGGTGACGAAGCCTTAAAAAAACACCAATGTTAAAATTGGTTCTGGTGGTTTTTCACTCAAAGATGAAGAACGCTCTGATCCTTCAGTTCAAGACTCTAACTCTAACTCTAACTTACTCTAACCACCAAATCAGACGATTAATTTTGATGTCTACATTGAACAACTGCAGTTTTTTTTCTATATTTATTATTGGCTCTTGACTTACATCATTTGGCCATATGCCATTCGTACAATTGTTTAATACAAATCCTAATAAATAATTAACTTATAAATTAATTATAGCATTATTAACACGGGACGGCACCGATTTCAAAACAATCTACTTTACCGGCTGAAAACTTGATTTCATTGTGTATGTTATGCAATTTGTTTGATAAAAATTTGTGGTCATTGAAGGACATACATTTATAATATTAATTTATTTTTGATCATTTTATAAAGAATGGTGACGTTCAAAACAATTTCCAAAATGCATTTTTATTGCTTAAAATGATTATATTATTTACATATGCCGGAAAGTTTACGCTTAAAGGCTGTGGTTTCCAATCTGTGGGGCGCGAGGCTATTCCAAGGGGTACGTACTGCTTTTTCTAAAGTACTATTTTCTGAAAATAAACCAAAAATGTTGAATTGATTTAAAAAAAATGAGTAAATTAGTGGGGCGCATGGCATCGTGCCTTAAGGCAAATTGTTGGTACTTCCCGTACTTAAAAAAAATGTTTTCTTTATTTTGAAATATTTTGAAAATTCTGAACTTTTTTTAAGGCAATCGTACTGCTTTAACTGCATAGAGATGAAATATCGAAGCGCGTAAGCGCCGCGTCGCCGTCTACCTGATAAACATTGGTACGGAACCCATAGGAATGTAAACAAAATTTATACTTATTGTTAAAATCTCTATAAAATATCTGATAATTTGATGTGCATATGTCTAATGATCATTTTTGACCGCTGAATGGTATTTTTTTTACTTTTTGCACTAGATCTCCGAAACCGCTAGATCTGCCTTCATGAAAATATAATCAGTTTTTCATTTTGTCAATAAAAGTAAAATGTTTTTTGAATTATTAAAATCGGACGCTCCGTTCTCTTAAAAACTGAGTTACCGTTTGTGGCACTTCTTGCCCCGTATCTTCGGTACGGCTAGACCTGCATATGCCGAAAACTAATGAGCACGTCTCCTTGTCACCAGCAATCGAATGTTTTTTGAATAATTGAACCGTGTTCCCGAAATCGTCAACGTAAATTTGTATCCGCACACACACACATCCATTTTTTCTTAGGTATGCCATAATGTTCAGAAACCTCTGAAACGTAAAGATATATACAAATTTTCATTTTCGATTTTTTTGCCACAAAATACCACTTACAACTATTTATTTTATTAAAATTATTTCCATATTAAAAATATTTTTATTAGAGTTTTTGTGTATATGGACTATGTGTATCATTTTGCAACATGCTACACAAATACTGAAAAGTGTAGTTCCTTTCTGAATTGTTTCACATAAATTGAATGTTTTTACGTCTGTTTTTTATTATATGTCAAATCCAATTAAGCAACTACTAACGTGATAAAAATGAATGTTATTTTTATGAAGAAAACTTCAATTTAATAGTCTCTTTTTGCTCGGCTGTAATTGTTAACGTAACTTATCAAACATGATTAATTTATGTATTATCCACTAATCAATTGATTTTATAATTCAGTAGCGGCAATTAAATCAATCAAAAGTTATTTCCAATTCTGGTGCCAAAACAAATATGCTTTATCATTAAAAACTATTTATTCAACTATTCACTTTTAATGTGTGAAATTCTGCATTTTGATTTTGATTGAAAATCAATTTGGCAAACTGATGAGAGAAATAGATATTTCGGTTTATATCGCGCCTAATTGATCATCATTGATACATTGTTTACGCTAAATAACGCGAACCTATACAGAGGGTGATTCAATTTGTATATTAATGTAGCAATTAGAATTATTTGCTTGTGATTGAAACTTTATATGTTAATACAGTATATGACGTGATATGAATATGGAAACTATATTGATAGTATATATTCAATAGATACTGAATATCGTGGTAGTACACTTTACATAGCCTGCAAATACAATAGCCTAATTTGGTGAAGTAATGTTATATTATTATAGCAATCAAGATATAGTAATATCTTATAATATTATTAATTATTGTAAGCTGATCTACCTAACCTAAAAATGATGTTATATTAGAAAAAAACTAGTGGTGCACGGCATCGTGCCTTAAGGCAAATAGCTGGAACTTTCCGTACCAAAAATTAAATTTAAATTTAAAAAACACTTCTTTTTAGAACTTTGAAAAAACCAGGTTTTTGAGAATGTTTGATTTTTTTTTCTTTTTTGAAGTATTTAAATTTTTTTATACTTTTTGAAAAAATGAAAGTTTTTCAAAGTATTCGCGATACTATAGCTGCGTAGAAACGAATTATCGAAGCGCGTGAGCGCCGCGTCGCAATCCAACGGATAAGCATTGATACGAAACCCATAGAAATGTAAACAAATTTTGTTTTTATTATTAAAATATCTATAAGATGTCTGATAATTTGATGTGCATATGTCTAATGATCACTTTTGTCCACCAAATGGCATTTTTTTACTTTTTTTAATGGTACTCCACCAAAAAGTTTGTCAGTTGTTCACTTCGTCAATACAAATAGAATGTTTTTTCAATTATTCAAATCGGACGCTCCGTTCTCCCGAAATCTAAATTACCATTTTCGGTTCTTTTTGCCCCGTATCTTTGGAACGGCTAGACCTGCTTTTGCTAAAACTAATCAGTACGTCTTCTTATCAATACGTATCAAATGCATTATTCAAATCGGTTGATCCGTGTCCTCGAAATCGTCGACGAAAATTTGTCAACACACACACGCGCACACATATACATACGCACAAATATACACGCACACATGCATTCATTTTTTCTGAGGTATGCCAAATAGTCAGAAACCTCTGAAACGTAAAGATATACAAAAAATTTTCTTTTCGATTTCGATAGGGTGTTAGTTAAGACTATTAACTATAAAGTTCCATCAAAATTGTCAAAAAAAAAAAAAATCTAAAAAACCAAAAGGCTCTTCTTAACCAAAAGGTAATCAGCAAAATTTCCAATTGATATCTTTCGAACAGTTTTTGTATTTTCAAAATCGGTTCAGAATTTTGGGCAAAAACGTGAACGATAATTTGCTCTCTGTTGCTAATTCCAAAAAACGGCTCGAAAGGACCTTAATCTGCTCTTTTCGAGTTTTATTAGAAGGTTTTAAAATTTTTGAAATCGATGTAGATGTTTTTAGGAAAACGTTGACGAAATTAGAAATTTTCTTTCTCATACAGTCACATATATTTTTATCAATTTTGGCGTTAAACGATTCAGAATGACTTGAAATGTCTAGAAAACATAAAATTTACAAATCGGATTTCTTGGCAAATTATTAAGTGGAAACTAGAAAGCATTACATTGCAGATCTTGTGAAGACGAAGTTTATCAAATCGACTTTTGAAATTACTTATAATTTTATTTTCAAAATTTGTTCGCCATGAATGGTAAAACTTTTGAAATAAAGAATACAAGGTATAATTTATTTTATTTTTAAGTTTTATCAACAGTTCTGTAATCATCAGGATTTTTCCAAAGTTGTTCAGATTTTACTGTTCATTTTCAATCAAAACCGGTATGTGGTTCAGTTTGTATAAATATTTAATGTTTTTTAATATAAATATCAAATTATTACTTTAATCTAGTAATCTAGTAATAACCTATTTAGGTGTAAGCTTTATTTTGTCTTGAAGTAGTAGTTTCCAACTTTTTCGTACTACGAAAAATGTTTTTTTCGAAATTTGGTAAATATTGCGCCCCCCTTAGTTTTGACAACAATCTAATTTTATAAATACTCAACTGATATTCGTTTAATGATATTTGTTTTATGGTCGGTCTAAATACTCTAAATGATAATAATAATAAGTAATAGGCTGCCCGAAGGCAGGTCCATGGTGTAAGAGCATCAGTGATTTCCTTCCTCTTTCTTGTTTATTATTCCCATTACATTTCGTTACTATTAATTACTTTATACACTTATATGCATTTTTTTTCCAAACTTTTATTTCCATGTTTCCTGGTCTTGGGCTTCGACTTTCAGTTCTCTGTATTTTTCTTTCTTGCGTAAAACATCAATCATCTACATTCTTCTTCTTCCCATTCGTTTCAGTTTTTCTATTTTACCTTCGAATGCATCATATAAGAGGCACTCTTTTTGCAGAATGTGTCCGATCCAGTTTCCTTTTCTTTGCGCTCAGCAGTGCTTTCTTCGCCTACTCTTCTCAGGACTTCTTGATTTTTACTATCTCATAGATAGTTTTTGTCGACCTTTCTTAGAGTCCACGTCTCTGATCCGTACAGAGTTATGCTCCAGGTCTAAATGATATTACATAATGATCTTTTATACTTTTTATCTATGCGAGTGTATTATTTTTAAGAAAATTAAAATTATTTTTTAATGGAAATTGCGGGTTGAGTCTTGTGCATAGAGGGTCAGATTTATTCTAACTTTGCCAATGAGGGGTAGTTAATAAAAGTAATTGAATATAATAACCGTAATTATCATCAGGCTTTTATGCCTTTTTTGTCGTAATTACCGTTATTACCCTCTAATGACTTAGTTATAAAAGGTAATTTGCTAAGCACCGAGTAATATACAAAGAAATTTGAATGTTTGTATCAAATGATTAACTCATTTGGAATGTATCTACATATTTAACTTCTTATAGTAGTTTTTAAGCTATAGTAATCGCAAAAAAATCGAAAATGAAAATTTTTATACATCTGTACGTTTCAAAGGTTTCTGAATATTTTGGCATAACTTAGAAAAAATGATGTATGCGTGTGTGCGGATACAAATTTTCGTCGACGAATTTGGGAACACCGATCAACCGATTTGAATAATTCAGAAAACATTCAATTTACATTGATAAGGAGACGTACTGATTAGTTTTTGGCAGGTCTAGCCGTTCTGAAAATACGGGGCAAAAAGTGCCAAAAACAGTAACTCAGTTTTTAAAAGAACGGAGTGTCCGATTTTGAAAATTCAAAAAACATTTTACTTGTATTGACAAGATGAAGAACTGATTAAATTTTTGGGAAGGCAGGTCCAGCGGTTATGGACTCTCAATAAAAATAAGTTAAAAAAATGGCGGTTAAAAATGTTTATTGGGCATATGTATATCAAATTATCAGATATTTTATAGAGATTTTAATAATGTTTACACATTTTGTGTAAATTTTTTTGGGTTCCGTACAAAAATTTTTGATTACGGTACGGGAAGTTTCAGCAATTTGCCTTAAGGCACGATGTCATGCACTCCACTAGTTAAATATCTCAATTTGTATAACAAAATATATAAGTTTTACAGTTCCCAAATGTGTAATATATGCAATTTATACGCACTGATCGTTTGCTTTATTTTACAACAATGTCGTAAAACTTCATTTGCATTATTATGTAGGATATGCATTGGTTTATGTGCTGCTATTTTGCGCAAATTAAACCGAAATTACTGAAGGCTATTAACTGTCATGCATTACGGAAAAATATAAAATAATAATGAGTCCATAAAGGTTTGCGTCTTTCCGTTTAATAGGTCTATTTAAGACATCGTAAACCAGAATTGAAGTTCGTTAATTTGGAAGAAGCGTTGTTTTGCTTGCTATTGGCCATAAAATTGCAGATAACTATTTTCAGGATTTTCAAACAGAATAGAGCACTTCAACTTTATGTCACAACATACAATTTGATTCTTCAGCAAAATTTAGAAATGGAATGAGATTTGATTTTTGAATATCATAGGAATACCTAAAACTTTTACAATTTTAGAGAAGTAAGAATAGGTGTAAAACTCCCATTATTAGACCAAGCATTTTTATTACTAAAGTAGAAAATAAAATAGAGCTCTTCAAGTTTTATGACAAACCATATAATTTGATTCTTCCAAAAAATAGGGTTTGCTGAAAGAGAATGAGATAAGATTTTTAATCAATAATTACAATCATAACATTAATTGTTATTGGGGAACATCTAATTTTTTTAAAAATGTAAGAGAATCAAGTATACATTTAATTATCTTTAACAGACAAAGCATATTCTTATTACCACACTAAGAAGTTTAACATTATTCATATTTCTAAAATTAATTTTTTTATTAATTTGTCTCTTTTTTAATAGCAAATTTTTCTTACTACGAAAATATAAAGTTTGATATTTTATTTGAATTTGAATTTGTCATTTGTCTGGTAATGAATGATTTGTAATGAAGCAAATATTTTTTGAAAGTATTTAGTACTAATAATTGATTCTTTCGTTGATTAACCCTTACAATTTCAATAAAATTATTAATGATCAATTTTTTTTGACTATTTTTATATACACAATTTAATAGTCACAACTTAGGAGACAACTATGATAAAATTTAATATATAATTAAATGACACACTAATATATACACTTTTATATACTTACGTTTATGAGATAAATATGTTTGATATCAACCTTGGACAGTCTGATATCTAGCAGTAGTTATATTTGTTTTTACTTGAAAACATAAGGTATCTATATATGATATCTATTACTATGTCTTGAAGTAAAGACTAATATTACTAACGTTTGATATCAGGCTGCTCGAGATGGATATCAAACCTATTTATGTGTATATTTTCTTATTTTAATTTAATAATCCTTCGCCTGCATCGCTAAAATGATAAAAAATCAGTACTCGACAAATTTCAATAAATGTGGATGGGTCAACCTTCAAATTATTATTCTAATACTAAAAATATATCAAATATAGGTGGGCTAACCTTCAAATTATAATACTAGATAGGTCTTCTAAAAATCCACATAATTAATAAGTATTATCACAGATCTTAGATCTTTTTGGAAGTTTGGACAGTTGTGAAAAAAATATTTAAGAGTTGTCCATTAGATGTTAGGTTATTGATAATTTTTTAACATTGCTAATTCCAATAGATTTTAATATTATTACAGTACTTCTGAGAGAATTTTTAAAACGTTAAATTTAATAATAACTTTGCGTAGTAGGGGAGACTGGGTACGGTTGTGACAGGGTACAGTAATAACAGTTGTTAGTACTGTACAACAGCTAAACTACAATGCTTTTGAGATAGGGTCCAAAGCGAGAAAGATGAAGTATGTTTTTTCGAACAAGTTTCCATAAATGAATTGGGTCATCGCCTTGCATTAACATGATCTGTAAATCGTCAATATAGCTAAACTATACTAATTTTGAGATTGGGTCCAAAGGGAGAAAAATGAAGTATGTTTTTTTGAACAAGTTATATTCTTGAATATAACGCAGCGCCATGCATTAACATAATCAGTAGACCGTTATAAAAGCTAAACTATATTGACTTTGATATAGGGTCCAAGGGAGAAAGATGAAGTGTGTTTTTCCGAACAAGTTTCCATTATTGAATTGGGTCATCGCCTTGCATTAACATGATCTGTAGACCCTCATAACAGCTAAACTATACTTATTTTGAGATAGGGTCCAAGGCGAGAAAGATGAAGTATATTTTTTCGAACAAGTTTCCATTATTGAATTGGGTTAGCGCTTTGCATTAACATGCATTGCTTTTAAGGAGTCAAAAGTAAATCTTTTTGGTTCGATTTTTTTTTAATAATAACTGTTATTTGTATACCAGATTAATCACTTGCTATTTTGCTGTACGTTGAACATTAATAGTTAATTACCGGCAATTAGTTTTTGGGTAGATAATTTAGCTCATATCAGTCACAGCGATTATGTGTTTTCAAAATTGTGCGTTGGATATGGTGGTGACAAATTTTGTGGGTACGGTTGTGACATGTATTTTTTGTACTTTTCGGATGAAAATTAAACAAATAAAAATCTAAATCAAGTAAGACGTAATACGAAAGAGAACGGTAAAGGTTGTGACACTCGCCAATTGTTTGCCTGATTTTATTGTATGATTAATCGTATTAAGAGCAGTATTTCTACGAAGGCAAGTGTTCAACTTACCATTTAAATTGCTTATCATCTACATAACTGCTAAATTAAAAAAATATTGGCGATCGATAAAATGTGGTGCAATCGTTCCTAGTCTCTTCTCTAACATTTGAACATTTATTGTATACATATTAGTATCATATTTGCATTGCAATGATTTAATGATTTTGATGAATTTGGATGGGTTCGTGCTAATAGTTGGATAATAATAATAATAATAATTAAATTGTGTAAATATGAAAATTATAACCATGTAGTCTAATGGAATATTATTATGGAGATAGGTATAATGCGATATTTTCAAGTAAAATCATCAACATGCTGATGCCATAATTTGATGTTCTTTTTTTTATTCATTCAATATTATCCAACAGTTATTGACAGAACTCTATAAGTTATAGGGCTAAATACCACATAGGCAAATAATAATAATCACAGAAAGAAATAAAGAAAAAAAAAATTATAATAACTAAATGAATGAACATGAATAAAAATTAATTACAAATAAAGAAAGATATGTAAATAATGTACAAAATAAAAAAACAAATTGTAGTGGTTGCTCTATTAAGCAACTGACTATAGAAAACAATTTTTTACATTAAGTCTATAGGCAGTTTCTTGTGTAGTCTTCCTACAAGCGGGTTATCAAGCAGATGAGCCATTGTTGCTCATCTTGAATGATTGTAAATTTTAGCATGACGTCTAGTACTGGTATTTTTTATGACATCCACTACAAAAGGGATGTTGAGGTCTAACATTAATTGTCGTTTATTTCCGTTCTGAAGTATGTCGTTAACATGTTAAATTTCTAATTTCAGGTGCGCGTTGTTAAATCCGACAATAATGGCCTAGGTGTCAGTATCAAAGGCGGTCGTGAAAATCGTATGCCGATATTGATAAGTAAAATATTTCGTGGTTTGGCGGCCGACGCAGCGGGTGGCTTGTACGTGGGCGATGCCATATTAAGTGTTAATGGAGAAGACCTAAGGGACGCCACTCATGATGAAGCTGTCAAAGCGTTGAAGAGAGCAGGAAGGGTTGTGAATTTAGAAGGTGAGTTTTGGAAATTTTCTATTAACCTTTAATAAACGAACGCATTACGTAAAACTATGCCCAGGTCGACGGATTTAAAAAATTAAGTGCTTCTTTTTCAAAGCTTGAGAAGTTGCATACCTAATATTGCTTTGTTGGGTTTGAACAGTTCGTCTAATATTGCTTGTTGACCAATGTTCAAATTCATTTTCTACCTGCATTGTTGTCATATTGAAATTAAAAAAGAAAAGCCCAAAATTCTTCTTGTATGTTACGATTACTGTAACTTACGATTATTGTAAAATATTTACAATGTCGCGAGTATGGCTACACTTGTATGGTTTAATTTTGGTTATACCCCATCAAGCACTTTACTCCAGTCATTATAGTAAGTTCACTCCGAAATTCGAGATACCCAGCTGTAAGTCTATAAATACTTGTATATCGACATTTAAAAGTTATCTCAAAACCTACATATGGTAGGGTGTACGTCATATGTAGGTTTTGTGACAACTTTTAAATGTCAATATTTAAGTATTTACAGACTTACAGCTGGGTATTTCGAATTCTGAGATTTTTACCTAATTTAAGCTGAAATGACTGGACTACTTGAGAATTGATAGATCTTGATCTTACTAAAAATCAAATGTCACTGGTAGTACCTATTACCTCAGATTATTTAAATAGGCGTCTTATTGTCGCGATGAGCAAGTAAGCAGAACAAATTTGCTTAAAATGATGCAAAACTCGGTAATATCTTTTGTTTCCACTTGTGTAATAAGTGTTTTATTATTTATAACGTATTAAAAAAAAATTTGAAGATGAATTTTTAAATTTTCAAGTATTTTATCCCAAATCTCTTTTTTTTGTCGCCATGTGTAAGTGAGGCAGAACAAGGCTGCTTAAAATAATGCAAAATTCGGTATTGTCTTTTGTTTCCACTTTTTCTTGGGCTAATGTTCAAGTAGAACTATAGCAATGTAATAAGTGTTATAATATTCAAATAACGTATTACAAAAATACCAGTTGATTCCAGATGAATTTATAAATTTGCAAGTATTTTATCCCAAATTTCTTTTTTTGTTCGTATAAAAATTTCTTGCTAATTCTTCTGAACAGTAATATGTATCGCCGCAGGCCAGCGAATAGAAGTAACAGGTCGACTTTGAGAAAAAAACAACTGTTTTTATAAGAATTGCGTGTTTTTAATGGCATAAAATCGTTCGGAATTAAGTGATTTTTATCCATGTATTCTATTAATAGAAGAGCAAATCATTGGTCAGCAAAATAAAAAAAAAGTATGTGCGACATATGTTTTCTAATGTAGTTTTTACTGCTGAACACGAATCTAAAGTCAAAATTGGGGGTCAAATAGCAAATAATGGAAGAAATTTAAAAAAAAAAACATTATCTCCGATTTGGTAATTCTTCTACATAATAATCAAAATCTTATAATTTTTGTCGTTTCCTGACCCTTTTTTACTTTAAATAACTACTGAGTTTCAATTAAATGATCTCTTCAGTTTTTTTTGTATAAATCAGTAGTAATTTTATCTACATTGCTTCTGGGTAATCAGCAATGAACTTTGATTAAAATAATAAATGAGTAATATAATAATATTCTTAGTGAATTAAATATAATAAATATATTTATTAGGCTATTTTCTGGACTATCTTCCTGTGCCAAATAACTAGTTCGTTGAAAACTTGTCATTCATCTTTGATAATACTTTTTGTCTTTAATAAATAATATTATATAAAATACTGGATAGAATAACTTATTATCAAATTAGTAAAAATCATATAATATAAAATCAAATTAAATTTATTTAATACACATTTTTTCACTATTATTTCCTGAATTTCTTAGTTTTGCCAGAAACAATTAACCAGAAGGTTTAATACTTTTTGTTTTTCAACACTAAATTATTTTGAAATCGTGTACAGCAACTGAAACATGTTACTAAATTTTTGGCATTTATTAATTTATTAGTTAAATATGAAGTCATAAAATATATTAGGTTATTGTTTATATCCGTATTTTAAGCTATTTATGAGCGCGTTTATAATATTTGATAATAAAGATTGTTATGATCTCGTTAAAACTAAACTTCATTGAACTTAATTTAATGAAATTAAATTGGTAATCATTATTGAACAAAGGGCTTGTTGTAGTCATTAATGTAAATTTAAGGTTAATGGAAGATATAGCGTATATATTATTTTCCTCGATTATATTCAATGAATTTTAATCAATCTGAATTTAAAAGTATCATTGTTTACAATAATATATTGTTGTTGCATAAAGTTTAATACTAGTAGATAATCCATAGTATGTTATCATACGATAACATTTGTTATTGCCAACTAATTCATAATAGCTATAACAATATTCTTGCATATGAATTTCAATTTTCAAATTTCAAAATTCAAATCCTATTGATTTTTATTCACAATGTAAAATATTTTTATAGTTCAATTTCAAATATTGCAATACAGGATTATCTTTGCGCTTGGGGATTGAACTAATAACAATTCCTCATAATCGAATCTGCTGCAGTGATAAAATAACGATATTATAAGCTTATACAGCTTAGAAAATCTATAAAATAAGCTTATATACAGTTTAGTTTAGACCATGCTTATGTTATGATCATCTTATATGGTGCATGAAATGCGCATCCCTTCTAAGATGAAATATATAAAATATAATACCTTAAATTTTTGTATTATACATTCCTTCTTTAATATCCACGCATAAAAAAATTATTTACATTATTATCTATCTATTATTATCTATTAAATTTTTGTTACATATAAAGTATAATTATTTCAATAATCCGCATAATTTTTCTATTTATTGAAAATACAAGAATAGTTTTTTTAGATTGTACCATATTATTTCAAATTTGAATGATTTATTTCATAATGGAAGAATTATTATTATTAATATACTTTGAAATATTACGTAGAATATTTACTAGATTTTTTTTAGGACCCAAAGAAACCAAATAGTTTCTTAAAATCTATTATATAAAAATAAGTCGGGTTTTTCTTCTTGACGATATAACTCCAGAACGCACGAACCGATTTCAACGATTTTGCATTCGTTGGAAAGGTCTCGGACTCCGTGAGATTTATAGCAAATTGAAGAAAAATTTCAACAGAAAAGGAAAACACTTTTTCTTTTTTCACATACAGCGTCATCTCTGATACTTAGCATGTACTACAACTAATATTTTTTGTTTAACTGCTACTCATTTGTTTGACAGCTACTCATTGTTCTCTGCTCAGTTAATTTCATGTGACAAACCGGCATTGTGTTCACTGTGAAATTGTGCAAAAAAAAGTAAAAAAAATAAGTTATTCGTTTCCTAACATTTCAATTGGAAACCATCAAATCAATCACTTGTATTGTGTAAATTTTTATTCAATTTCAACAGCAGGCTTTTTTTTTCTTCATCACCAAACGAAAAGTTACATAAAATAAAATCACCAAACGAAATGTTACATAAAATGAAACCATCTGGTGGTGAAACGGAGTTCGCCCGGTTTGCTAGTTGTATCATATTTTTTTATCTGCTTCTCTACATTTTTCTTTTAATGGAGTTATGTTGTTATAGTTAATAAATTTAGATAAACGTGAAATATTTTGCTTGTAAGTGGTGTATTGCAATTGATTGGTTATAGACAATTGCAATATAGATTTATAAAGTTGAAATGTAAAATCTAAATCTCAATCTGAATTGAAAATTTAAAAAAAAAATCTATGATCGATCAATATTTCATAAAATTTTAACAAAAACGTATAGTAAATTAAGAAAATATAGAAAAGCGATCTTTCCTAATTTAGCAAAGAAAAAACTAAGACTACTGAAAAACAACTGAAAGCTTATTCGAGCATTTTCTTCTAACAGGAAATCTAAATAGGTCATAGGACTTATCTTTAGAAGATCAAATCGAAACATATTAATTTTTAACTTCCCATAGGGTAAGTTATAGTAATCGCAAAAAATCGAAAATGAAATTTTTTATATATCTTTACGTTTCAGAGGCTTCTGAACATTTTCCAATACCTTAGAAAAAAATGGATGTATGTGTGTGTGTGTGCGGATACAAATTTTCGTCGACGATTTCGGGAACACAGTTTAACCGATTTCAATTATTCAAAAAACACTCGATTGCTGTTGATAAGGAGACGCGCTGATTAGATTTTGGCATAGACAGGTCTAGCCGTTTCGAAGATACGGGGAAAAAAGTGCCACAAACGGTAACACAGTTTTTAAGAGAACGGAGTGTCCGATTGTAATAATTCAACTTGTACTTGTATTGAAAAGATAAAGAACTGATTAAATTTTCATGAAGGCAGGTCTAGCGGTTTCGGAGATCTAGTGAAAAAAGTAAAAAAAAATGCCATTTGGCGGTCAAAAATGATCATTAGACATAAGCACATAAAATTATCAGATATTTTATAGAGATTTTAACAATAAATATAAATTTTGTTTACATTCCTATGGGTTCCGTATCAATGTTTATCCGTTAGACGGCGACGCGGTATTTCGTCTCTATGCAGTTAAAGCAGTTCGTTTGCTTTGAAAAAAAGTTCAGAACTTCCAAAATATTTCAAAATAAATGAAACATTTCTTTCAAAAAGGCTTTGTTTCAAAAAAAATATTTTTTTTCAAAAATTTATAGTTTCTAAAAAACCTAATTTTTTCAAAGTAAATTTTTTTCAAAAATGTTAATCTTTTAAAAAAAAAATAATTTTTGGTACGGGAAGTTTCAGCAATTTGCTTTAAGGCACGATGCCATGCGCTCCACTAGCTTTTTAATATATGAAACTAGATATCAGATCCTAAAAATCTACATCAAATAAATTTAAATTTACTAAACAAACTATCTCTGTATACTATCCTTGAACGTTTGAAGCCAATACAGATTTAAAAGCTATCAGAATCAATTGCCTTCCGTTTGAATCTATCGCTTGCGGCCAATATTCTACACATAGTACACTTGTTCAA